AAACCACCCCGAACCCCCTCGATCAGATTCCAGTCTGTAACTCCCTCCCCGGGGGGTATCTGTTATTCTGTATATAAACCCCCCCGAACCCCCTCGATCAGATTCCAGTCTGTAACTCCCTCCCCGGGGGGGTATCTGTTATTCTGTATATAAACCCCCCCGAACCCCTCGATCAGATTCCAGTCTGTAACTCCCTCCCCGGGGGGGTATCTGTTATTCTGTATATAAACCACCCCGAACCCCCTCGATCAGATTCCAGTCTGTAACTCCCTCGCTGAGTGTAAAATTACCTTGGTAAGTTGATGGTGTGTTGAGTTTGTGTTTCTCAACCGATGTGCATTCGTCTTTCCGAGCTTTAACCTGTAACCCTGGTGTGTCTTGTTGTCTTCACCTGGCCTGTTCCTTTAAGAAATGCGTTTGGACTCACTGTAGAGGGAGTTAGTGATCTTACTTGAGTCACAGTCAAGGATTTGCGTTAGTGTGAGTTTGAGCGAGCGAGAGAGAGTCTGAGAGGCAGAGACAGACGCCGAGATGGAGCTGTTTTGTCTGGGCAAGACCTCTAAATAAACTGCGAGCCTTCTGCCGAAAGTCTGACCTCTCCGCAAGTGACTGGAGATTTCTCCCCATTCCCAGGAGCAGGAGCAGGGTAAGTGTCAACGAGAGAGGATCGGGTACAGGGTCGCGTCGAGACTGTTTGGTTTGCGGGGCTAGATTGGGTCAGAGAGACGGGCAGAGAGGGTGAGAGAGAGACAGAAAGAGACAGACGGACTGAAGTGAGTGAGATCGAGGCAGAGAGAGTGAGAGACCCGGGGGTGGGCGGCACAATGCGAGTGAGAGAGTGAGAGACACGGAGCATGTGAGACAGGGAGATGGGGTAGAGCGCGTGTGTGTGTGTGTGAGAGACAGACAGAGTGAGGGAGAGTGGCAGAGAGGGAGTGAGGGAGAGGGGCAGAGAGTGAGTGAGGGAGAGGGCCAGAGAGAGAGTGAGGGAGAGGGCCAGAGAGAGAGTGAGGGAGAGGAGCAGAGAGTGAGTGAGGGAGAGGGGCAGAGAGGGAGTGAGGGAGAGGGGCAGAGAGGGAGTGAGGGAGAGGGGCAGAGAGGGAGTGAGGGAGAGGGGCAGAGAGGGAGTGAGGGAGAGGTGCACAGTGAGTGAGGGAGAGGGGCAGAGAGAGAGAGTGAGGGAGAGGGGCAGAGAGTGAGAGGCACAGGTAATGTGAGAGTTTGGGGCAGAGTGTGTGTGTGTGTGTGAGAGAGAGAGAGAGAGACAGCGAGAGAGAGAGAGAGACAGAGAGAGAGAGCGAGAGAGAGAGAGA